TTAGGTGGTCACTGAAAAACCCACCAAATCCAGCTGATAAATCAAAAAAACCGTCAAAACGGCCCCAAAAAATCCCCCCCAAAATTAACAACCAATGAAAGCCAAAAGCCAAAAAAAGTTTGGGGTTTTTTTTTTTCATCCTGTATTAACAAATCAGTTTTGAAAGCCTGGTACAGTACAGGAACATACATTGGGTAATACTGGTGCAATCACAAACCAGAAATTTTATCTACTGTACCACAGAGATAATTTCAACTAAACTCCAAAGGTAACAATGAGCATCACACAGACTGACAAGCACCTTTTCCCAGGCAACACTGTATTTCCAGAAAATTTCCACCCCAGATGCTCTGTTCCTTATGAATTAACACAAAGACCATCTTCAGCAACTAACAGCCATTAATGTACTTAATCACAAGGAAGAAAAGTCCAAATTCCTTCAGCAAGAGTAGAGGCAAAATCTGAGTGAAAAATGCATAGTAACATTAAAAAAAACAGGGAGCAAAAGTTTGGTATCTAATATATAATCATAGACAAGTCAGGTCTGCAGATTGCCCAGCACAAACTTTATTAGAGTTCAGTTAAAAATACATAATCTCCAGACATTTGAGATGTAGTTCTGACTGATAAGGCAGCAGACAGGAAATGAAACCCCTCCCAAATGCTGCTCCTTATCTTGAAAAGCTCTGAAATCATTACTGAACTAATAAAGTAATTCTGATTTAAAAAAAAAAAGAAATCTTCTTTGATAAAGGCAGTCATGAGATTATTACTTTTTGCTTGTTATGTACCATACTGATGAGTACAACAACTTTTAAGAGCTTTTATAACAGACTTTGACAGTGAATCTGTCAGCTTTTCTTAAAGGGAGGATGCTTGAGATGTTCAGCTAAAAGCTGGCAGACAGCATCATGTATTATTTTTACTAAAATTACTAACATTCATTCTTTTGTTTCAATGTTTAAGATATTAAGAAAAAATTAAGAAGTGAAAAAATACAAGACAGCCCCTAGGGAGGTTCCCAAACCTACCACACAACATTTAATGACAACAGATTAAATGAAGTTTATTCCTGGAATCTGGAAAATGTGGGGTCAGATCCTTAATGCAGAGATAGACACCAAATCCCATCGAAGAGGGGAAGTGCTCCATAACCATCTCCAGCAGCTGTTTCTAAAGGAAAGCCTCTCTTTACAGCCACAGTGGAGGGATGCACCTCTGAGGATGACAGCTAAGTGAGGAGAGAGATGGGATTTAAAGCACATTTGAGTCCTGTTTCCTGTAAGCTGCACTGAGGCAGTTCCATGCTGAGGGTTGAGTGGACACCACTAAAAAGGTCCTCAACCTTTCATGCTCTGTAAAACAGGAGCCCACAAACCTTCAACAGCAACATTACATATTTTCTAATGGAATCAGGTACACACGGGCTGGGAATTGCTAAATTCAGGCGTTCGGTGACATAAAATTTAACAACTGCTAGTTCATTAAAGTAAAAACAGATTTTAAAACTAAATATTTGATGAGTCAGAAACTGATCAAAATCATTTCATGCTTTATTAGCACTGTTTTTCTTGACCACACAAAAGAGCAAGTGTAGACTGAAGCTCTAGGGAGGAAAGAACAGATTTGTAGCCCAGGGTTATACAAGGGCCCCATATCCCAGCCTGTTCCTGAACACCTCCCGTGTCTCCAGCAGCACATCCAGGTGGGATTTACACAGCACACAGTGCCCTCTGCTGGGGCAGGTACGGAGAGAGTATTTTGAACCTAATACTCCAAAAGAAATTAAAAATTAAGGATTATAGAAAACAACACTCTCACACAATATCATACATCTTCTCTTGCTGTAGAACCTTTGGGTTGTACAGCTTTGCTTTTGTTCCCAGTATGAACATCACAAAATCAATTACATCAAATTTGGGTGGAATGAGCTAAAGGATAAAACACACATAACTACCACACTTAGTATTTGAGTGAGAGCTGTTGATTACTACTGGTCTTTCTATTCACAGGCATTCACCAGTGACAGCCAACAAATTTCTTTACAAGCTAGTTAACTCTGGCAAACAGGTTGTCACATGTGCTGAATTTCTGGAAGAGTTGACAGAAAGTAACAAAAAATCATCACTTCCATGTAACATGTACTAAAAAAAATACAGATCATATTTCACACCCAAATCCAAAATGATGACACATATCCTAATGACACTGCCAAAACCTGCTGCAGCCATTAAGGGTTGGACACAAATAAATTCACTGAATACAGGGCAAGTTTCAGAAGAAAATTGTTGAACTGACCTCTTCATCTGATTCATCTGCAAACACCGAGAGCTTCTTTGAAACAAGATTTTTCTGTGGCAACTTTTTGGGCATAATAAGCCCATATCTAGAGGAAAAAAAAAATTACCTTTAGCATCACTTAAAACATAGCACGTTCCAAATAAAAATTCTGCCATTTACCATTTGAGAAGTAAAAAGTGAGAATCAACACAATGTATTTAAATTATATATGAGAAGCCTTTGCAGCAGAGCACACCAGCCAGCTTCTGCCAGAGCTACTGCTGTCTTTTGGTATGCAAAGTTTCTGGATGCAATGATTGTCCTAAATTAGGACACAAATCCCTCTTCAGAGTTTTCCAAGTAATTTACTTTTCTCTCTCAGAGAAATACGAATTTTTTTTAAATGACAACTGTTTAATCTGAAGGGATTTAGTTTTAGTCTATACCAAGCACTATTCCATGCCTATGTTTGCAGTGCTTTAATTTCATATTTTGCTGGCAATGTAACCACAGGTGCTACGGCAAAGGACAAGTTTTACAGTCAGATTATGTCGCACTGAGACTAATTAACCACACACAAGCAACTCTTGTGCTGACAAAGTCCATCTCTATGCTAAACCCACTTCCTTTTGGTGCTGAGCAACTTCTAAACTGGGGGTTTCTCACCCACGTGCCTTTCCCTGAGTCCATCACTGAGTCAATAGCTCCTCTCAGGGTGTA